TGTGCGCGCCTGTGATGCGTCAGAGGAGTCCTGCGAGAACCGGACTGGCAGACTTTCGCGAGAAATCTTTCGGTCGCCCGGTAGGATTGTGCATTTGCACGGACTGCAATGCCTTCTTAAATATAAGAATCGAGGATTCAAGAAATTCTTTCTTGAAGCTTCGTCGCTGTGAACTTCAAACTTTTAAGATGCTATACATGGCATTGAGAAATGTTACGTATTACAAGCACACGTTAACGATTACGCACCCGGATTAATACAATATTTTCTGTGCAACTCGTCGTCATGGCGCAAGCGTAGAGAAACCGTAAAACACACATCGTCGTGCATAAACGGTTGCGAAACGGAAAGTTTCCGATGCTAAATGTTGTTCAATTTTTCGCACTTTGCGCGTCAGGGTATACGTACGTTTTCGAATCTGGAACAACTTCGGCATACGGTCCTCGCAGTCAGATACGCCATTATTCAATCAAAGCAATATCCTCGGTCATCTATTACAAAGCGGGCAAGCAACGGAAAAGAGAAGAACAAACTGCATCAGAGGTGCAAAAACTAGTAGCGATTTGCTGCTTTTTCTTCGTCTTCTTCTTTGCTATTATCCTCGTCGTCTGTGTGTATCTTTTTTTCAGAGGTGAAGGCCATTTTCTCACGTGGATGATATAAAAAAAACGCTGTCTAGATTCTTAATTGCCTTTTTCCACTTCGTCGTTTTTTTTTCACAGTACACGCGCACTTTACGAGTCTCTCTCTATCTCTCTCTCTCTCTCATACTCTCCTTCTCTCTCTCCCTCTCTCTCTCTCTCTCTCTCTCTCTCTCTCTCTCTCTCTCTCTCTCTCTCTGACATTTAGGTACGTATAAAAATCATACGGTCTCGTCGATTAATAGGTTTATAATTTTGTTTCCTCATAGAAGAAACTTTGTTTTAATGAAAAAAAAATTTTCTTAAAGTCATTGTAGAAACATGTTTTAAGAAATGCCTCTGTGTGTATATATGTGTATATGTATGCAGTATGTATGGAATCATCAATAACTGAAGTTTTATACGATAAGATTCCACGAACAACAAGAAAAGTTATATGATTTTAACTAGTGGGTCTGTTAAAATTCGAAAAAATATTATTGTTTCAGCTTTACAAATTCGGTTTGTTCAATTTTTTTCAGTGTTATATCTAAGATTTTTAATATTTTATTATAGGATTTTGCAGTACTTCAATTTTTTGTAATCCTATTTTTAACGACTAGCTGTAGTGAAAAACGTGACAAAAAAAATTTAATAATATAGGAAAATGACAATAGTATTTTTTGAAATTTGAACTGAAGATATCTCATATAATTAGTAACATTTCCTGCAAATTTGAAGTTATTACGTTGCATAGTTATAAAAAAATAGTTTTATCTAAAAATGAGACATTTTTGCTTTCACAATCATTGGAATAATTTTAATCAAACCGATCTAAAATGTAATATTTATATTTCCTGTTACAAACTATAAGTCGAGTTCGTAATACAGATCGTTTGGTTTATTTAAAAAGAATTTCAATTTATTAGGATAACAGTATCATTAAGACGAAGCTAACTGCGAATAAATTGACAACGTTTCTTGCTAAATTCTCAGTGATATACAGATGGATTCATTAGAAAGCCATATTGTTTTTTATATTAAGTTCCGGTTGAAAAAAAAGTTTATATTTTAATGAATAATGTAGAAAATTATAAATCGTATTTTTTATCGTAAATTTTTATTAGTTGAATGAAAAACATGGAAAAATATTAATAAAATCTTCCAACAAGTTTAAAACAAATTTCTATTTTCTCCATAATTTTTCAGACAAATTTACGTACTTCATTATTCTTTTGCTGCTATAATGAATGCTGTTATTCAAAAGTTACACAAGAACATATTTTCCTCAAATCGTTTATTCGTAACTACTTTGAAAACTCTTTTACATATCTTCATCAAATCTTTTACATGAAAGTCTCTCAAATAATGGTCATGTTTTCATCTATATCAGAATCTCAAACACGATCATTTTCAATTACAGTTCCTAGATTTCCGTTCGGAAATCTTCAACGTAAGAAAAAAAAACAATTCAAATCCAAGGAAGCTCTAAATAAAGGAAAAAAGAAGATTAGAAAGGAGTCTGGGTAGCAAACGAGAAAATTGCAGATCACATCTATTTCGCGAAAACAGCCGCGAGCAAGTTACACAAGCTCCGTGGTTTTATTAGGCGAGCAGTCATCATCAGGCTGAGTCGTTCGTGCAACTATCTCTCATATAGCAATATAATAGTATATAAGATTCGTGACAGTCCAAGTTCTCTTCTATGCATACACGTCCATGACAATCTGAGGACGCTCTTGTGTCAAGTCTTTGAAAAATTACCCTATTCATGATTACCTCTTGATTCCTCTTCTTTTTTTTCTTGTTTCGTTGAATTGTCTATCTTCGGACGTGTATTTTTCAAAGTCGTATGGACTCACGAATAATAAAAATAATGTAATATTAGTATTGTTACTTTTAATAGATTTTTTCCACCCAAACATCAGTCAACCGGTTGACCAGGCATTTTAACATCTACGTGAATCGGCAGAATGCAAAAACAGGATTGGCTTATTTTTTCCTTGCGTCGCGAGAGCAAGAATGCCGCTTTTTTTGTGCACCACTGCTTTGCTTACGCTCGCGCTCCCCTGAGCACTTGTAGCTGAACCAACTGATTTTCATTATTTTGCAGTTCGACTGTAAGTGATAGTTCGGTCAAATGTTTGTTTCAGCATATAAAAAGTTCAGAATTCAATAAATACAATGGATATTTCAAACAAGAAAATTTATAAATTTTTTTATTTTGTATTTGTAAGTAAGTACAAATATAAAGAAAACAAATACAAAAATTAGCTTGAAAATTTGGCCATAAAGTTTGACCATTCCTCATAACGTTTGCAATTTATGAAAAATAAAACATCCAAATTCTTATTAAAAATTCCAATTGAAAACTATCGAGTGGTTGTTATAGTAAAGTCGCATGAAAGTCATTAAGAAATTGAGCTCAAGCGCAGCGAATGAATTACCCATACTCAAGTGCAACGCCAGTGAGTAGAAAGGGGGATATATGTATAAAAAATCACGTAACACGTGACTCAGCGAAAATCGACGTACGAGGAACCGCCTAAAGAAATTCTTTTGGTCTCTCGCAGATGGATTATAAAAAAAAAAAGTGAAGAAGTCGCTAGGCTCGCATTGGCAAGGCAAAGCGCGTCCTAATAAAATTTTGTAACGCTACTCGGCGCAGGGTCGACGTGAAGAAACTGTTACGTGCGCGTGGACGGCGGCGGCTACAATGCAAATTTGATTGTTTCGTTCACCCTTACCCGGCTGCTTTCAACATTTAAGCCTATGTGTCGGCTCGTTTGCATTTTGATGTCTCTCAAATTGGTTTTAATAGTGCATGTTGTTTTGTAACGAAACGCGTTTGCTTCGAAGCTACCGTGTGGATTTGTAGGTTAGGTTTCACGGATATCACTTCAAAGATTCATAACGTCGTTCTCGCGCTATCTCTCCCTGAAATAAACGTTAAGTTACGTAGACCACTCGAAATCAATTGTTTTGTCGTAAAACGAGAGAAAAGAAGCATGCGCTTCGAAAAAAAAAAGAAATTAACATTCCTACTTTTTCTTATTTTTAATAACGCACGTATAGCGGTACAAGTGTCAACACGTCCGAAAGTTGCGCACTATACTTCGCGGCTCGCCACTGTGCAGCCTACTTTCACGACCTTGCAGACAATGAGAAATAAACAAATTTTCTTTTTATAACTCTTAATATTCGCTGACGTTTCAGATTTTGCCGATGTGACGAAGTCACATCATTCGTCGATTCAATAATCTGGTTAATTTACAAAATCGTTGGATACGTCGATAAAGAAAACACGGTTCGTCGCGAGTGCTTTCTTTTTAACGCGGGTTACGAAAAAGCAAAGAACGACAATACACCCTCTAACGCAGAACGTGCGTTCGATTGCGTCGCATACGCGCGAGTTGGCAGCACGAGAAACGAGGTTGAAGCGCGCGCGCGTTGTTAAGAAGGCCACACGCGCTGCTGCTGCAGCAGTCACTCATACGCACACAAACTGATCAGTGAATCTGACCACGTTTGTGCATAATAATCCTCAATGGCTTCTTCTACTTCTTCTTCTTCTTCTTCTTCTTCTTCTTCTTCTTCTTCTTCTTCTTCTTCTTCTTCTTCTTCTTCTTCTTCGCCTTCCATTATGACTTACTCATTGGTTTCGCATCGAAGATACGGCGAAATGACATACGCACGCTTACATTGGAAGATTTTATCCTGTCGATGTTTAGATAATGGCTTAATGATTTGACGATTTGCAGCTGTAGTTCCATCTGACCAGGTTTTTAAAACCAAATGTCTTCGAATTCCTCGCAAAAAAATTATTTCACTACTGCCATATTACCTTGCAAATTGAAACAAAAAAATAAATAAATAAAGCAAAGAAAAACAATCCTCGTAAAAGCACTGCAACAAACAAACATACGAAAAAACTGTCTTCGCGTAGACGTGCACAGCCAACAAAAAAACAAGCTTGACATCACATTGACACGCGTGATGTCAGTCCTCATCGCAAAAGTCTCTATATGCCACTACTTTCAATAAACCGAAACTTACATGCCTATGTTTTTCGTGATCGACACATACGTAGTCCGGAGCACGTGCGTGTTATGAAAAGTTTTTTTAGCATTGAAATCAAATCCAATTGATCGAAACCAAAACACCAATACAAAAACAAGTATGAAAAAGAGAGAATGAATAAAAGTGGGAGTCGCAAGAGGGAGATGAAGAAAGGGGCAATGATAGCGAGCGACGTGGCGGCGAGTGTATAAGAGTGAGAAAGAGAGCGAGAGAGAGAGAGAGAGAGAGAGAGAGAGAGAGAGAGAGAGAGAGAAAGGAGGGTCGAGAGGTGGGAAGGTACCAGCAGCAACGAGGTATCGCTCGGTCAGTCTCGCGGCAGGACTCGCGTCGCTCATACTGTAATTTTCCTTGTTTCACGTCGTCCCGCGAGTGCTTCAATCTCTTGTTGTGCGTCGTCGTCTTCGCCATTCTATAGTGATTTTCCCGGATTTCCCCGAGCAAACAGTGTCCCATGAGCTCGAACACGAAGCTTCGGGCTTGGATTCTCACCACACCGTCACCTGCTGATCGACATTCAGGTTGAGGCAAGAGAGAGAAAGAGAAAGAGAGAGAGAACGCCGCAGGTACGAGTTGTTCTCAGAGCGTTGCCTCTTTTGCTCTTTCTTTTTCTTTCCGCTTCTCCGGTGAAAGGTTTTTTCTTTTTTTTTTCGCGCGCGCGAGACATTCGGCTTTCTTCCCTCGCTCTGCTGGAATCTAATTTATTTCGTTGCGAAAGATTCCAAACGAGTTCTCCGGTGACATTGGGTACATTTTTCTTTCTCCCACAACAGAATTAATTCGAAGCCTCTAAGACGGTTGCTTGTCCTTAACCATTCGACTCGTCCACGAAAAGTCAATTTCCCCGTTTTTTTTTATCCTATTTCTAGGGACGCCAATTAAGCGTTCGGGAGCCGGTGAACTCGCGGGGATTCCCGGGAACACGGTTTAAGTTAGATCGCAACGTGCCTGCCCCCGCAAGCACGAAAGCTAATCGAGAAAATGCGCGAGGCAATCGCGTAACGGGGGGCTTATCTTTGCCATAACGCGCGCGTGTCACGATGAAATTACGCTTCCCTCGAGTTTTATTTAATAACGCGACTGTGCCGCTGCCGCGATGGAGTAACTTTGTCCTCTCTCGCGCGGCAGATGCACTTTCTCCTCTTAATACTTCTGCGCGCGAGAGACGCGAGGTTTGCGCGCGCGCGTTGAATGCGAAATGAATGTGTCGTTGAATTATGTCCGTCTGTTTTGTAGGATATGGATTTTGGCTCGCGCCACGATCAGAAAAGAAGATTCCTTTCGTGTCCAGTTCATTGAGAATCGTGAGCGTATTTAATGGGATGCGCGTTTGACTGATTTTGTTGTTTTTTTTCTCTTTTGGCGGCACGATTTTGACCTCGTCTTGGGTAATGGATTCTATCCCATCTTATGCGTATACACGGAAATCTGATATTCGTACGTACTGTGCATTTTTTTAACAGTTATTCTATGTTTCTGAAACGACAACGCGAATGATAATTATCAGTGTGACTAATTCAAATGGGGAGGTGATGAGCAACGTATTGAAAATTTATGAATGGTTAATTTGCAACTCGAACTAAATAATGTATTTATTGTCGACACAAATAATTCGGAAGATCCGATACTTTGATTCTCAGCTATCACTTCAATAAGAAACAAAAAAAAAATGCGAAACGCGACAAACGAAACATGAAAAGCCTTTCAATTATGCACAGTCCATAGACAAAAACTAACGCGTTTACTCGATCCTTCCTCGTTCAGCTGAGAAAAAAAAAAGAATATTTTCAAAACGTACTTTCGCAAACGATAGTGGCAATAGAAACGCAGGCTTCGAGAATGAAAATTAACGGTCGACAATTAACACCGCGAGCAATTATTTTATATATACGTTCACGGACATCAAATCAATTGTCGTGTGTGCCGCGATGAATAAGTTATAGGCACGACGATCGATGACGATTCGGTTGGTTGCGAAATTCATTTGTGTTTTTTCTTTTTCTTTTTTTTTGTTCCAATCGCATCTGCGTCAGTGTAATTGTCACGAGGAACTGGTTGATAATCCATTGCGCAAATATTATGTGATAAGTGTGAATGGTTTTGATTTTAACATGACAGATCTGACAAATTGGATTTTTACATTTATATATACAAAGTCCGTTGTAGAATAAACATAGTCACAGAATATATGTAGTGTGTTACGGAAATTTTCTTTTTGCCGAGTCAATGAAATTTTTGGATCCGAGAGGTATTAATTCTCGCAGTTTTTCAAGGCTCTCGAACTCATCGAGATAAAACTAAAAAATAAAGGAAATAAGAAAGAACGTCATTCGACCATCCCACATAACAAACACCAGACCAGTTAGTAAAACAAGAGTTTTACACACGGAAACTTCCGGCGAACTTTCATTAAAAAAAAAATCGTTTCGACGTATCGCGAATACACATCGCTTTCACCAAAACTGAAAATCACGAGATCAAAATTCGCATGACGCGCAAATAAAAATCAATTGCATCTCGGAAGCTTATATAATTCGTGACATTTGGCCAAGTAGCCAAGTATGTGTGTATGTGTGTGTATGAGAAGAAATCGGTGGCACACACGTGTGCAATACGAAAGGTATATTTAAAAGTGGGGAGAGCAAGAGAGAAACACTTGTGCACTTTCTAGCGGGTCACAAAGGAAAATGCAAGTTACTTCGCTCTCGCTGATGCGCCTCGTTCTGCTTTTACGCGCCGTGCGCCATGCAGAAAATCTCGTCGTTTATTTTCGGCAAATTTATATTCAGCTGGGAAGCCCAGCGCGATTGATCGTCGATCGCGTCGGAGAGGAGTTTTCTTCGCGACGGGACATTGTCTTTTGTTGCCGTTTGTTGTTAACGTCCACGCGCGTCCTTACGAGCAGTCGGGGTTTCTCTTTTTCCGCGCTTTCGTCGGCTCGCCCCCGCTGCGAAGTCGTCCGCGCACGGCAAAGGGAAAACGAAACGGAAAGAGCAAAAAAGAATCAGCGCGCCGCGCTGTAAGGAGCGCGCGCATAATTAAACTCGACGACGCGCTTTTGTTGGCACTCGGCAAAGAGGCGACGTCGGCCTTCGCCGTTGTGCGCGTCGCGCGCGCGATGAATTTTAATAAAACGAAGGGGGAAAAAATGGACGGGCGGCGGCGTCGCCGCTGAACTCGCGAATCGATCTGACTCACGTCCATAACGCCGGCGATTCCACTGTTGCGCGCGCGTTTCGGTTCTCCGAATGCTGAGTAATAGGATCATTGAAGAGATTGGCGGTTGTAAAATAGCGCAGTTGCGAGCTCAACGTGGCGCTTGTTAAAAAGTGCTTCGATAACGGTGCTAACGTTTGCGTACTCCAGTCTTGTTTGCTCTTTTTTTTTCATTCCACGGAAAGTGAAACTAATCGACGCTGTTATCCCGAAAGAACGTCCGCCGCTCTCCGTCCGAAGTTGCTCTCGTCTCGATTGCGCGCGTTCAGCTGAAATCGTTCTAACGCTCGTCTTGGACGTGTGTGCGTGTGACGGCGAGCGCTCGAACGGCTGGTATCGCGCGGACTTCGATCGACACCCCCCGCCCGATCCGCGCCCACGCCGCCACGCCAGTCTGTCGCCGGACGCTCGCGCGCGGGTCGAGTTCAGCGCGACACGGACGGCTCGCCGTGGTAAGAGATTAGGGGCTGCGCCCTGGCAAAGTGGAGCGTGCGCGCGCTGTGCGTCTGTGCGAAGCGAGCAACCGGGCCCCGTTCCGCGCGTGCCGCTGTCAAGCAGTCCGAGCGCCAGATCGACCGTGGACTCCTCATGGATCGCGCGGACGCATTACGTCTCGCGTGTCCGCGCGCTGTCGTTCGCGTGCCCCGTGTCGTGGGGAGAGTCGATTACGCGCGCGCACGCGTACGCCGAGCTAATTGGCGCGAGCGAGCGCAAATCGATCGTCGCGATTCTTAGGAATTTTCCGAAGGCGGACGAAGAAAAAACAGAAAGAAAACCGATGGATTCGAGAGACGGAACTAGGCCCAATTCAAAATTCAGCTCGACGTGTGAAACGCGACGCCGGCCGCCTCGTTCACGAGGCCCCGAAATAAGCAAAATCTAGCACGACGTCCCGTTGCCTCTCCGCGGCGTGTTTTAGACGCTACGCCTACTCGTGTACGCCCGAACGTAAAAGATAGATGGAAAGGGAGAGAGAGAGAGAGAGAGCACCACAATATCGAGATGACCCTAATAGGCGAGAAGTGAGAGGAAAATAGCCGATCGCTCTCGGATGTGTTACAAAAACCACGACGAGAAATTTTTTGAATCATTTGATGGATTTCGTTTCTCTAACTTTGTTTTTTTTTTCTTTTTTCGTGGACGTGTTTTTTCTTATAATAACTGTAAAACTAATTGAAAAATCCGCCACGATGACAATTCGTTGGAAGCTTCAGTGTTTCAAACGTTAAGAGAGCCTTTCTAGCAATACAATCAAGTCCTACTAACTCAAGTTCTAATCATGCTTGCATCTTCACCTTTTGCTGCTTTCTGAGGTGAGTTGTAGATGCGGTTTCACGAGTCAAGTCACGCGAACGAATCCTAAAGACAACCAATCGATTGTCGATCGAAGCCATACATTCCTATGTGTCAAAGTAGCTCAGGCGATGGCGATCCCGATCGCGAATTCCGTAAACACGACTCTGCGTCTGTCTGTGACACCTGCGCGTCACACGTTGCGCAAAGCGATGATCTGGATTTGTAACGCGAAGCTTTCGTCAGCTAATTTTTGGTTTTTCGCAAAGCTGTGTTTTGAAAATCACGAATATATTTGGCAGACAGATGTTTCGTACATTACATGACGGACGACGAGTTTGGAAGTAATTCTATTCCGCGGTAATGCAAAAACTATGATTTCAAAAATTCCACGCACAAATTTCATTTAGAGAAGCTTTATTCAAATAAAAGATCATTCTAATCAGTTAAGAGTTCTCTTCGATCATTAAAAAATTGTATAACAATCCATATAAAAATACTTACGATTAAACCAGAAATGTTTCTTGCAAGTATACGTTTGAAGCTTCGAACACGGTTCGAGTGGCAAAACCAGTTCAATTAATTGAAACTCACTGTAATAACCACAAAAAAAGTATACAGAAATAACAGAGTTGATCAATATAACGAAACGTACATTGCGTAAATGTTAAAACATAGTGTTATAAATCTTAACAAATAGCTGCTTATGTTCACGGAAGCTTGCACCTAACAATACGCTATGTAACTATAATAGGCAACATAACCACTTTCAGAAACGCGAAACCACCTCAAGGGTGAATCAAATAGTCACATTCGCTGAAATACTTATCCGAATCACGTACAGAATGATCGGTGGATTTTGCGGATCACACATATTCGTTCTCGTTATCTTCGTTATTTTCCATATCGCAATAGAGTAATGATCGAGAAAGTCGTAAGAGAAAAATCGCAAAACCGTTGTTGGAAGTGCTCATCCCAATCACGTGAGAGTGAGACTAGCGAAACCGCAAAATTATCCAAAAAATATCTTTTTTGAAACTGTTGGCAATGAAAATTGGACCACAACGAAAATTCGACACTCTTGAGAATTTCATCGCTGTACAAACGTTAATGCGTCATCGATCGATGCGTTTTTATTTTCAAACGAATATTAAAATGCTACGTGTTATTTGAACGTACATACGTATATACTCCACCACGAAGTGTATATAAAGGAATCTTTCAAAATACGTTCTTCTGTGAAAACTTACTCGACGTCGCCGACAAACACCACACTCGCCTTGAAACTTCGCACCTACTAATAAAGATACGAAACAAACCGTAAAAGTGGAAATAATCACCTTGGTCATACACTCGCAAATAAAGGGAATTTGTGAATGTTATTTCGATAAAGCTTTATATCTGCCGAACGTGTTTACTTTTTCTACACGTAAAAGTGTGAAAGCTTTGTATTTCGTGATTCACGTCTGACGAATGAAATTCGACAATTGAAAAACATGTACAAATCGATTGGATACAATTTAACCTCAAAAAAAGCTAACCTCACTTTTTTTCAATATTATTTTTAATCTTTTCACAGCCTACTTAAAAACAAATTTAACTCAATCCAATCAACTTGAGCCCCATTGACAACTTTCGTGACAATCCTCACAAGAAAAAAAAAAAAAAAAAAATACACACAATCACAATCAATTTCCCACCCGCCTCAACTAAAAGAGCAGAAAAATGCGGAGAAAGAGATTCCCGCGAGATCAAAATTCGTTTCGCACGTGCGCGATTACCGCACAAAGCGACGGCGATGTATATAGCACATGCAAGTGCACAACTCTCGATTTCACCTGCGAGGCACTCGAGCGCGCACCTCGCCGTCGCGTCATGCGTGTGCACATCTCTTTGTTTTTTCGCTGCGCGGACGGTTTTAAATTTAAATTTGCGTCATCTGCAGTTTTAGTTGATGGATCTATTTCTTCAGATAATAAATTTTAAGTTGCGGCGGCAATTGATTTGACGAAATATTAGAATTCCGTAGACTATGTTGCAATTTTACAGGAGAATTTATAGATCGAGTTTACGCGTAGGTACTGAAAAGCTACGTACTACGGTTTATCAGATTCTCGCGAGTGTTTTGCTTTTGAAATAGTTGCACAAAAATCCACTATTCAGAGTACCATACCTTGTTGGATATCTAGTTTCGATTAATAAAAACATTCGCTAGGTCTACGGAATATTCAACGTTGTTCCGCGGATATCATTAAAAACTAGAAAATTGCATTCATCCGTGTTCGAAAGTCGAGTACTGTTGATTTGGATCGTCTTAATTAGGTTCCCTCATGAAGTAAATTAGCTAGTAAGTATTCCGTATAAAAACAATAGTAGTACCTGTAAGAAAGCACGTCGTCAACAAACATAATCCATTGATAAATTTCTCAAGCCACCAACTTCGTTAACTTCGTAGCATTGACGTACGTAACGTGTACTCGTCCAGAAAAATCTCGCCATCTCCTTAATTACCGACTCGAGATAGGTGCCAAAAGTGTCACGTTAGACCATCGCCGAAATCAATCCACATAACGCGCGTACCGAGAGCGGCGCTTGCAAAAGTCTCGCGCGCGAAGAAGGTCGCCGAAGACGTCGCGCACGCGTACTGGAAAAGACCTTGCGGTTGTCGCCCGTCACGAAAAGCCGTCGTGACCGTGGCCCACTAAAAAAGAAGGAAAAAAAAAAAAGAAAATGAGTCTGCCCGTTGTGCAACATCGATAACGTGAGAATTTCTCCGAAAGCAAAACGAAAGAGAATCGCCGCGAGTGTCAATGACATTGGTCAATCGTTCGCGCGAATCAAGCTGGTTTTCGCGTGCGCGCTTGGGAAAATCCATAAGCACGCAGGCGCGCAATTACGTACACGAGAAGCCGGAGCGAGAACGGCTCGCTCGCTGGCTCGCCGCGCGAGGCGTCGAGTGAAAGGGAACATTTTAACAATCATAATGGTGATTATGCGCTTCCCAGCAGCAGCAGCAGCAGCAGCAGCAGACAACGCACTCTTTTCCGAGATTTCAATTTCTCCCGCGATATCTCCGGATTACACATTATTCTCGAGATGCGTCTTTTGCTGGTTTTACTTGAAACTGCCGGACACCATGGCGCGGCGAGCCCAAATTACTTTGCTCATGCGACTGCTGCTCGGCTCGATTTGTATTTTATACGTACGCAACGCGCGCAAAGTAAAAGTGCCTTCCGATCGGGATATATGTGATTAGCGATCGAAAGTTAACTATCCCAACCTGAAAATTGCATCGAGTAACCTCGGAACAGCTCGCTACTTCTATGCTCAATCTCAAAATCAGGAACAAAATCGGAAAACAATCGAACTTACGGCAATCCATCGACCTGCTTCCAATGTTAGTTGGCTAACGGCAACGATCCTTCCGGAAAAATCGGCGCCGTCGTCGCTCTTCATTCAATTCCGTCGCTTTCACGGACGAGTAGCGAAGCGAGTCGCAGTCAGGAAATCGGCCTCTTTTTTTCTACACGCGCGAGCATCGAAGTCTCGAACGTCAAGGAAACGGACGTGGGGAGGAGTGTGACGCGCGAGGAAGACCTTTCGTCGGTGCGCCAGAGAGCAGAGCTTGACAATCGGCGAAAGTTCATCTCGGCATTGTCTCGCTCCTCCTCGTCGCATTCGAGGAAAGAAAGCGAGCGCGTCGCGGATCGATTCGACGCCTCTTGCCGGGGTTGCAGCTCGGCAAGTGCGTGTGCACCGAGAGCAGTAATGGCATTAGTCGCGTTGCCCAACGTGAAAAGAAAGCCGAGCGACTGCTTTACCGGGAGGCCCCTTGCGTAACCGGACAGCGGCAACGACGGCGGCGGCGGCGGCGGCTGCTGCTGCTGCCGCTGCTACTGCCACGGAGATACAGCAATGATCCCGTGCTCGTGCGTCTCGTTACATCGAGCACGGGATTCCGATATTTTTGCCCGTCCTCGCTGACGTACGGACGCTGCGGCGCGGCGTGCGCGAACGACAATGCCGCGCCGCAGCCTCGTCGCACGTTCGACGATCGCGAACTGAACGCATGCTCGACACGGTTCTTCGCAGCGACGGCGCATCGACGGGGACAGGAGACCCGGGCAGCGACAGCAGCGACTTGAGGAGCGTCGCAGCAGCGACGATGCAGCCGAGTGCGGACGCCGAGGCGGCGATGACGCCGAGTCCTGTCATGGCCCAGCCGGGACTCAACAATCAAGCCTGGAATCGACAACAGGCTGTCTCGGTCAGGCACGCCTTCAAGTCTTACGGCAGCAGCAAGAATCCAAATCACGTGCTACAGAATCTGAACATGACCGTCTCCAAAGGATCCATGTGAGTGCAGCGTAATTTGTCGCTTCTAAAACTTTTTCGAGATGATCGTGCCGTCGCTCGTACCGCCTGGCTCGTCTCGGTTTCCAAATTCAAGCGCGTCGCTCCGACAGACGACAGCCGACGCGTGCAGCGAGAAGCGGCCATTCTGCAGTGGCACGCCGCGCATCTCCGTGTTCTCGATCGAAGACGCGCGACGGAACGTCGTCGTTGGAGCTCGGCTTTCACGATAGCCCAGCCCGTACGGTCAAGGTCGCACTCTTCTTTTCTCCTCGCCGTTCGCGACTGGCTGATCAGCAAACATCCTCGAATTTGAAGAAAGATATCAGCGCGAGACGAGGAACCAGTTTCTTCCTTTTTTCTTTCGTCATTTTTTTTTCTCACTGTATTTCGACTTTTGCGAGTTGATTCGGCGAAATTTCGAGGTTCGCCGTCGATCGAATCCACAGCACAGATTCGTAAATTCAAGTTCGCGTGCTCGAAAGCTACCTCAGCGGCGCGGTCGATGGCGGCACGAAACAATTCAAAAACTGCGCTTCGAAAGTGCAACGTATCGATCTGCCGCGCAGAAAAACGACGATTACAGCGTAATCGCAGCGGCCCGAGACCGCAATATCCTGTCGCTCGCAATCGGACAATGTATCCCCGAGCGAAAATCGAACGCGAAACGCACAGCCAGCCACTCGTGGAAAAAAAAAAAAAAAAATTGGTCGATAGTTGATTTCCTGAATAATTATCGAGCATTAAGCACCTGCTCGGCATAAAATTTTTTTTTTTTCGCAATGTTGGGGAAAGCGCATTCGCGTATAAAACCAACGCATATACCGTATAAATTGCTTGACCTCCACCTAAAATCCGATCGGCACTCGCGAGTTTTTCAGCCTGCTCTCTCTCTCTCTCTCTCTCTCTCTCTCTCTCTCTCTCTCTCTCTCTTTTCGCCGATCGACATTCCCCTAAACGCCCATGACGAAAGCTCGAGTCCCGCGCCGGGGTTAATTATTCGCCGTAATGCGTGTGCTCGGGTTAAGCGGAGGTAGCGAGTCGAAAAACGCCCAATCAAAGTAATCATTTCGGGCATGCGATTATGGTGACAGTCCTTGAAGGCACGCACGCGCACGTCAAGTTGACGATAAATTGTCGACGGTAATGATGCTCAGTCTCGCTAGACGTTTCGGAATTTCCAATGTTAATTTTGCAACGCGAAGAACGAAAAAACGAAAGAAAAGAAAAAAGCGCGGCACGCGCGAAAGGACTCGCTACGGGCCCTGACTTTCTTCGGGGCGTACGGCTGATCGGTTTCGGGTTGCCGCGTGCCCGAGGATCCGTAATAACGGCGGGACCCCCTCGCACCCGCAGATACGGTCTTCTGGGAGCGAGCGGTTGCGGCAAGACCACCCTGCTGTCGTGCATCGTGGGCAGACGACGACTGAACACCGGCGAGATTTGGGTGCTGGGTGGCAAACCAGGCACCAAGGGCTCCGGCGTGCCGGGCAAACGTGTCGGCTACATGCCTCAGGAGATCGCCCTGTACGGCGAGTTCACCATACGCGAGACCATGATGTACTTCGGTTGGATTTTCGGCATGGGCACCCCGGAGATCGTCGAGAGGTTGAGGTTCCTTCTGCAGTTCCTCGACCTGCCGTCGCAGAATCGACTTGTCAAGAATCTCAGGTAAGCTAATTACCGGCAAACTGCGTAAAGCTAATCGGCTAATTTTTCATTCTACCTGTCTTTTTGTTGTTCGATAACGGAGCGAGGAGTAATTTTCGCATTGCTTCCGTTAATCAGAATCGCCAAGCTGTCACGCTTAAGATGAAGTGCTACTGATTAACGTTTTTGCAGGCTTCGGGGAACAGTCGAGAATGCTCTTTGAGAAAGAAACCTAACCACATAAGTAGTTGTTTTCACACGATGTATTGTTACGAGTCGGTCCCCCGGCATCGCGCGCGTTAAGAACGAAAGCGTTGCTGGGTGACTTTGTAGTTTCGCTAGTCGAATCTGACGTTTCATACGAGATACTCACGCTCGTACCGTTTCGCGTGTTGCGTATTAATGATTACGCTTCAGCACTTTATAAATAAGTCGTCGCGTTATTTATTATTGCGCGAGCGTGAGCTGCGTTTTCGTCGATTTCCATGTTAAATAATAGTAATAACAATGCGCCCTTTTCTCGCTAATTCATTACTTTTACGGCAAATGGCAAGCCGAAAGATGATAGAATTGTCGCGAGTATCCGCGAGTTCTTACGTCATCGGCTAGAGAACGAAACTAATTCTCGTCAGCATCCGCGTCCAATCGGCGTACAGCCAATTTGTCCGCGTTCCGCAAAAATATCCTTCCGAAATGTCGACGTCGATCCGCATTCAATAGCGTTCCTATTAATCATCGCTGTTGGCGATTTGTTCCAGCGGCGGTCAACAACGACGAGTTTCATTCGCAGTGGCCCTCATGCACGACCCAGAGCTACTGATCCTGGACGAGCCGACGGTCGGCGTGGATCCGCTTTTACGACAGAGGTGAGAGCGAAAGTCACGCGTAACTTGTTCCGAAAGCAATCGCGGGACCACCCGGTGTCTGTCTAGCGCGTCCCTCCCGCGTCGTTGGCGACTTCGAAAAGTTGCCAATCCGCGAAGACAATCGCCCCGTCCCCTCGGCAGCCTTTGCTCTTCTTTGATTTTGCCGCGAACGAATTGCATCCCGCGGCGAATACGCGAATGTCTCGAATTTCACTCGAGCGCGCTCGCGGAAAAACAAACCGCGAGCCGTCGGTTACAATCTAATTGGCTGCGGCGACGAAGAAGGCAACAACGGCAACAACAAAAAAAATTAAAAAAAAAATAAAAAAAAAATAAAAAAAGAGCGATGCCGCGTGCGCTCTCCGTCCTTCGCGTTTATTATTAAACATGCGCCGTTTTCGTGATATCTCGGCTACTCCATTTTTTCCTCCCTTGTTTTTCTTCTCGCCGTAGCCGTCGCTATCCTACTTCCCGGCGGCTCTGTCGTTACGCAGAAGTCGCGCGCACTTTCCACAAGCGGTTTTCATATTTGTCCGCGTCGGCGAGGAGAACGCGCGGAGGGCGTTTTTCTCTTTCTTATTTCTTCTCCGTGTTCCGCGGCGCGAGTGTACTTTCGAGATAATTGCTCGAAAATTGGAGCAATTTTCATTATCCGCTTGACGTTCGTGACCGTGAACGCCAAACAATGACCGGCACAAACGTACTTAATTATTTGTCATTACGAGAATTAAACTACGCGTCGCTGTCTTGTGTCGTTACTTCTGGTATCTTCGGCCTCTCAAACGAAGCGATTCCTTCGCGTTGTCGATACGCGACGCAAGCTCGCGTCGGCGAAGCGATGCTTTTACCGAGCGTCGACGACTCTCGTCGTGGCGCGCTCAACGATGTTGAAACTCCAACGCGAAGCGCGTCAAAGACATGTGCCGACGCGCGCGCCACGTGAAAACGTACGGCAAACTCTAATTAGCCTCGACAAGCCGCAGCTCGCAATTACGATAATCGGCTCCTTTTTCCGTGTCGACGAAAGAGTAAACGACAACACTTCCACGTCGAATAAGAGCCGACGACGACGAGATATATCCAATGTTGAAGTCCCGTCGGGTGCGTCGGCGTTTTCAATGAAGCTTGGCCGAGGTTCAGGTATCAAAGTGTATAAAGGGACACGAGAGAGGGGAAGAAGACAGAAGAATCGCGCGATCAATTAAACACGAGCTACGCGATGCTGCGCTTTGGCGTCGATCGCCTTTCGAAATTCCCGCGTTCTTATCGCGTCGCCTCGATATCGCTTCCCCGAAAGCGACGACAGTCTCACCCCAAATTTCGAATTTTTCAGTATTTGGAATCATTTAGTTCAAATCACCAAAGATGGCAACAAAACGGTCATCATCACGACGCATTACATTGAAGAGGCGCGACAAGCTCACACGGTAAGTTTGCTATTCAAATGCAAATCATCGGCGAAGGAACAAACAGCAGATACGCTTGAGCACACTGAGCGTCGGAGCTTACGCTTGGCAAGCCTTTTAAAAATCTCTCAATGGATGAATAGTCGTACGTTTGGCGTTGAGGACCCGAGAAAAAAAATGGATGAAACGATTATGAACAATAACGATGACAATCGTTGAGAGCAGCGCGTTTATTTCACCAGTCGCGTCGACTGTTTCGGGGTTCAGATTCCAAAAACGTCAAGCGTAGAAGCAATGGTGTGCTTGGCGCGTTCGTCGTCGAAAATAACGTCCCGTCGGTCGGACAGTTCGGCGACGAAAAGGTTCGCCTCGCTGACGAACGAGTGACACGAGCTTTCGCGACGTTCCAGATTGGTCTAATGCGAAGCGGACGTTTGTTGGCCGAGGAGTCGCCGCGAGCCCTCCTGCAAATGTACAATTGCCCCTCCCTGGAAGATGTATTTTTGAAGCTATCCAGAAAACAAGGCAGCTACCCTCAACCCACCACTGAGCTCAACATCTCCAATAACATCAGCCTCGTGAGTGCAAAAGAAAATTTTTTTCCGACGATAATGTATTCCGTGCAAACGCTCGCTCGTCCAATTCACATTAATGAATCGACCGTGAATGTTTATTAAAAACGTAGAATGAAATTGCGGAGGCCACCTATATTAGGAAACGTAAATGCCGTGTCTCAATTGAAGTCAAATAAGCGTGGCTCTTTAGAATCGCTATACCATCTAAACAAACCATAAATATTCCACGTGCGTGTCGTTCAATGAATTTCATCCGAAAGCATCGCAGTCGAAAGCACAAAAAAAAAACAAAAAAACACGATATTACACTCGCACGAGGGACGCGACGAATAAACGGAAAAGCGAAAGAGAGGTCGAACGTTGAAAAGGCGGGCTGCGGTGAAAATTGACGGGCATTGTCGTAAGGAAGAACACCTTCGTTGAATCGACAGGCGTCCTTAAATTGGGGCAAGAAAGACGAGCCAGTGTACGTGACAGACGAGTCCGGAGTGGTCGGCCTTAACTTTCATCAAAGCAAAGAAGTTCTCATTCACGACACGACCAATGGAATAGGCAGCCACTATGACGTAAGCCAACATTTCATATACGAATCGCGCTATAATTTTCTTTCGCGTTTCTTCTCCTTCTCCGGCCGTATCTCAATGACATATTTAACATGCACTTACGCAGCTCCATGGTAAGCCACTGCCTGGCGTCAAGGAGTCAACTCTGGAATGCGACGACTGCGACTTCACCGACTGCTACAAGGTGACTACCCCGGGCAAAATCAGAGCACTGCTGCAGAAGAACTTCCTGCGAATGTGGAGGAATGTCGGGTGCGTAACGTCTCCCTCGACCTAATTCTTGTTTGCGTTATCTCGCGAAGATCTTGCAGACGGACGGCAAGACGACTGAAAAAAGAAAAACACGTAGCCTTGAGAGTTACGCGCGACGCGACGGGTGCGCACAAAATGAACAATTTGAAATCTTAGGGTTATGCTGTTCATCTTCGCGCTGCCGGTGATGCAGGTGATACTGTTCTGCCTAGCCATCGGCCGGGATCCAACGGGACTCAAACTGGCCATAGTCAATCACGAGATGGATTGGGAAAACAAGACTTGCCCTGTGTTCGATACGTGTGAAACCTCGTTTCTTAGTTGTAGATATCTCCATACCTTAGATAACGTCTCGATGATACAAGTTGGTTTCGCTTTTCTACCTTCGCGATCGCGAATCATTCCGCTCGAGCAGCTCACCAATTCCATACTTTCAGGATTATTACGAAAATCCTGAATCGGCGTTAGAGGCAGTTCGACAAGGTAAGGCATGGGGCACGTTGTACTTCACGGAGAACTTTACGGACGCGTTGGTTGCAAGAATGGCTTTGGGGAAGGAAGCCGACGAGGAAACCCTCGACCAGAGCGAGATCCGGGTCTGGCTTGACATGTCCAGTGAGTATTTCACGACTCAAGTCAGTTTTACCGGCGAACGAGTATACAAGCAACACTTTACCTCGACAGACCAGCAAATCGGTCTGATGCTCGCACGCAACCTCCAGTACGCGTACAGAGACTTTGCCAAGAACTTTCTGACCATTTGCGGACAAAACGAAAAGCTCGCCGACGTTCCCATTCAGTTCAAAGATCCCATCTACGGGTCTAAAGAGCCGAGTTTTACCGACTTCGTTGCACCCGGCGTCATTCTCACGTGAGTCTCTCGGCGGACAATCTTTTACCATCCAATTCCAAAATTAACGCGGCTTTTTATCTTGCAGCATCGTGTTCTTCTTGGCCGTAGCGTTGACGTCGTCCGCACTGATCATCGAGAGGATGGAGGGTTTGCTGGACCGGAGCTGGGTAGCTGGCGTGTCCCCCGGCGAAATTCTCTTCTCGCACGTGATCACGCAGTTCGTGGTGATGTGCGGCCAAACGGCTCTCGTGCTCATATTCATGATCATCGTGTTTGGCGTCGAGTGCAAGGGTGAGATTGGCTGGGTCATCGTGTTGACGATACTTCAAGGCCTTTGCGGCATGTGTTTCGGTGAGTGGCGCGCTCTTGTTATTGGCAATGCCGTCAGGCGCCGGGACAAAGTCACCGACGTTGGATCCAATTGCAGGCTTCGTGATTTCGGCGATTTGCGAGCTCGAACGGAACGCCATTCAACTGGCCCTCGGCAGTTTCTACCCGACTCTGCTGCTCAGCGGTATGTCGCGCTATCGAACGCCAACGCATTCGTGCCGACTCGTCCACGATCGCTTACGATTATTGTGGTCTGCGTTCGCAGGTGTGATCTGGCCGGTGGAAGGGATGCCGACGATACTGCGATACCTGTCGCAAGGCCTACCTCTGACCATGGCAACGACAGCGCTGCGTTCGATGCTGACCCGTGGCTGGACAATCGACGAACCGGACGTGTACAGCGGCTTCATCTCGACGATCGCCTGGATCGTCGTTTTCCTCACGATAAGCATGCTCGTGCTCAAGTTCAAACGCGGATAAGCGAGCGCCTTTCTTTAAGCCACCTGTACAGTTTTTCTTCTTCGGATCATTGTTGTTTCCCGTCTCCTCTCGCGGGTCCAAATCGACAGCTCAGGCGAAAACGCTGCTTACGAGGAGAGATGCGAGATGGTTCTAAGCTCTTTGGAAAGCTCGCGGTTATTGGCCCGTTGCTTTTAATTTGGAAAAATACTCGCTCGTGCTTGTTTCTCTGCTATTTTGAACACGCGTCGCTGTTGTTGTTGCTGTCGTTGTGCCGTCGTTCTCGGCAAAAAGAGAAACAAAAAGTTTGAGTACGTTTTTCTTCTCTTTTTTGTCGCGCAACCTCCGAAAGACGACCAAAGTCGTGGAGTCCATCTTTCCAAATTAAAAGGCAGCGCGCGATCCGCCAAGGCGAGAGCACATCACGAAGTCTCGGCGATGAGCCAGCGTTATTTTTTTATACGTATATAAATATAAAGAAAATAATTTTTAATAATCGTGGTGCCTGTAAAATTTTCTTTCAAAGAAAGCTGTGTGACTGTGTGCCGCAAACCGCGTTGCAGTTTGATTTTGTTTGTCGATTGTAAAAAAGGAAATTAGAGATAGTTCTCTTGTGCGCGCGTGCGTGAGTGAGTTACACTTATATACGAAATATTAGGTTGCATCCTTGATCCGTCGCAACGCCCTCGGCTGTTCGATTTCTCAATTGTTTTAATCGCCTTCTGGGTTTTGCTCGTTTTTTGCTGCGCGAGCGATTGTCGACGCGTGCCTCTTTGTCTTCGATCTAATTGTCACTTTCGCGCATCAGCGATCGTTGTTTGTATGTCCGAGGAGAAAAGAAAGAGAACGCCAAAGTTCATCCCTCAACGAATGAAAAAGTTCACGTTTTATTCCGAGTCACTGAGCGTGTCGCACACGTTGCAATCCCTCCTTTGTTGCGGGATGACTCCATGGCGACACGTAGTCTTGAGTGCTAATATTAATTATTTCTTTTTTTTATTTAAAAAGTCTTTTAGGAATACGGCAAGGATTCTTAATCATACTTGTAAATGGAATTGGTAGAATAGATTATTTTTATTATTATATCCCGAACATTTGTTAGTGTTTGATTGTGTATTGGTTTCGTCGATAATGTATGCTTGTTTTTTTAAAAAAAAAAGAACGAAATACATCGCGAAGCCGACCGCGCACATATCAATCGAGTTTTTATACGTGCATTATACATATTCAATCACAACAGCGCGCGAGCCAACCTCGATAACTAGATGGAAAATTTATTGGCGAAACTTAGAGAAACGCAAGAAAAGATCACTTTGTACTTGATAAAGATTCGATTTGCGCATCGTGAAATTCATCTGGTGATACGCGACGAGCAGCAAATTTATGCGTCTCGCAAGTTGGTACGTGAAAAAAAGAAAATCTGTTGTTAAGTGTATATAGAGGCACAATACGGTTGCACATCTTTTGATGGTGCACACAACGAACGCAAAAAGTGATCCCACTGATGCCTTGATTATTCGATCATTATCGTTCTTTTCGTTATCGAAAAGTACCTCCGTGTTTCGCCGACGCCGCGCGGCGACAGAGACGTAATGAACGAAGGAGAAATGAGTTTTTAGAACGAAAAGAAAAAATCAATTTTTTCTCCTGCAGTGCAATCGTCTTGCGCTGGGACAAAGGTGAAAATTGTAATTTAGATGTATCTTATTTCTCTCTTTTTTTTATAAACTGTTTTTAAATGTTAGATGGTTAGCTGTAGGACGATCTACTTGCCCATGACTTAAGTGTATGTTTTATTATTTAACTTGTAATAATAACAATCTTGAAAATCCAAGCTTCTGACATTGTTATTCTCGAAAACCAATCATTGCTCAATTGTTTCTTAATAAAACGTATAAAAATAGCCTTTATTGTTTGGCAAAAAAACATTAGAAAAAACAAACAAACAATCATTTACAGTATCATTGTAACAGACGCTGCGCTTTTGAATATTCATCAACGTCAAATAGCATCTTCCCGTTGACGATTCGCATTTACAAGGGAAACGACATTGACGACGTTTCTTCTGTCGCTTTTTTTCGTGCCTCATTGACTATGAGATTGGTGTCTACGAGTTTGTGCTAAATTCTGCATTTCCAGTCAAATTCCCGCAGTCTTCAATTTGTACTTTTCGTCTTCAACAAACCATTGTTTGTTTTCTTCAACTTGCTGCTTCCAGTACTCTGAAATTTTTTACGTCGTAAACATTTACTTTAATCATTTATGTCTGTACATGACATTTTTCGATAAGCATGTAATATAACAATTATTTGATATTGATCCATTAAAATTTAGAATCATACCATCGATAAATGTCATCAAGTGCATCCGTGACAATTTTAAATAAATACTTTAAGTAAACAAGTTTACGTAACCACAAAATAATAGTGTACACTGCGATATTTAAGTCAATAGTAATCATCCACCTAGACAGCAAGAATTGTTTCCAAAATTTTGCCAAAATGTTGCGGAAATGATTTTTGAAACGTGCAAATGTCCACCTTTGTTTAAAGCCAAATATTGCAAAAATGTTTTAGAAATTCTGCCCAAGTGTTTCAAAAAGATTTTCAAACATATATACGGTATCAATAATAGAAAAACTGGCTTCAGCAACATTTTGGCAACATTTGGCTTCAAGCAAAGGTGTACGTTTCGGAAACAGTTGTGCAACATTTTTGTCGGCTGCCGGAAAAGTTGTAACATTTTTGAATCCATGCTTTCTGGCTGGGCAAGTAAAATGGTTTCCCCTGCCGACAGACAGCCATTCTTCGATGCAAGTACGCGAAGCAACATCCCGTCGCATCCGCGTTCTATCTCTGACTGGCAACTCTGTTATCTTAACGAACGTTCGCACGTAAATTACACAAAAGGTATAAAACGACGCTTACTTTTCAACGTCTCGTAATTGCTATCCGTGCCGCCGAGTTCAGCAGGCAAAATACTCGGCGTGATTTTCTTCAGCAGCGACTTGCCGTCGGACGTGTGCACGTGTATTCGATCCTTGAGCTTCTTGGTCATGAACTGCCGGAAGATGTTGAGCACCACGTTCACGTGCGCGGGCGCGTTGACGTAATCCAGCGAGCGAACGCGATTCGGGTAGCTCTGCCAGGCGCCGACCAGACGCTTCACCACCGTGGGGGTCACCTGGAGTGCGTGCGCCAGCTGCACACCGGCCATGTCGTGGAGCGCCACGATGCCGTAAATCGACGAGTGCACATGCTCGCGAGCTGCCAGGTCCAAGACCATCATGCCAGCCTGCGAAGTATTCCGCTGTGGTTATTATTATCATAATTATTATTATTGCCGTCGCTTCGTGGATCGAACAATCGACGAATCGCCGGGGCACTCGAGCAGGAAGCCGACTCACCTTGAGCACGTCGGACTGCTTGTGCTTCCTGGGATCGTGAGCGGCGACGCGAATGACCACGACCAGCCTGCCGTCCTCGTCCACCTTCCTCAACGGCAGAAGCACTCTGGGCGGGGAAAGAGCAAGCACGCGCTCGTTAGCACTCGTAACCGGCGCGAAAATCATGTCCAAACAGTTACCCAAGCTCGAGAAGCTCCTGAATTTCGGGCAGGTGCGGATCGCGATTGGAAAACCATTCCGGCAGGAGGCTGCGCTGCTCGTGGAACAGCCGCAGCTTCTGCTTGGCGCGCTCCACGTCGAACTTGCTGCCGCGCAGGAAGCGCACGATGAAGAATTCGTCTGCAACGTTGCGCCGAGCATTATCATTTCCGCCGATCCGAGTGCTCTCCTCCTACTCCGAGCCGCGGCAGGAGCGATCCACCGACGACGACTCTCACTCCGCGAGTGGAACTTCCCGTGTCCGGGGCGCAACTACGGTCAGACCGCGCCAAAAGCCATCCCCTGATCGACGAGAGCGCGCGACTCACCAGTCCTCGAATGAATCTCGTCGTGGCCGATCAGCCAACTCCTGAGCTCCTCGATCTTCTTCTCCCTTTCGCCAGGAATCTCGTTCAGGTGAACGGCAGCGAAGTCCCTGTGCTCTTGAGTCAACTCGCTCGTCGTCGTCATTGCGACTCCGCCGACTTTGTCGCTTGGCTTGTGCGGACGGCGGTGCAGGCTCGCCGTGACAGACGCGCTCAGCTGATCGGCGCCGCAGACACTGTAGCTGCTGCGTGCCGCTGCTGAGCAGGCGCAGCTTGACAGCCGAAGGCAGGGCCGTAAGTGCGATTTACCGGGACCCCGCTGCTTTTACTTCGACGCGAGCAAACTTGGTCGCGATTACGGGCTTTGGGATTTTCTGAGATTTTCTCTGGCTCCGTTCTCCATTACGTACGTAGATTCCTTCGTTGTACGCTGCGAAACGCTGCATTTTCTTTTCCCTCGTCAGCTTTGTGAAATTTTTTGCACTCGTGAAGCAAGTCCAACGAGTGAATTCTTCGTATTCAAGTGATATCCGCATACCGCGCCATTCAATATACCAATTTTTTTCACGATAAAAAATTACAGACTAAGACGTAGCGCGTCATCGCGTATCCGCGTTTATCTTCAATTTAATTCTCATTTTTCCGAGAAAGTTAGACCCCGTTAGACCGCACGGTCTTGCTGTATTTTAGAAAGGAGCTACTACCAATAGATATTCCTCCTCGTTTCGTCACTCTCTCTCTCTCTCTCTCTCTCTCTCTCTGTATATGTGACTGCAGCGCTTGCACTAATCAAACAAGCGGACAAACTATGTCATCGGCGTTCCACGTGCTCGAGCCAAGTAAAAGTCTTATCTCTTGTGATATTTGGCCCCTCCGGGTCAGCGTCACTTTGTCGATCACAGATTTCGATTACAATTAAGCCCGGAAATCGATATTCAGAGCTACACCGAATTCAAAAACCCTTGTGAAGAACGGTAAATTTGTTTGATCGTCGGAAAAATTAGCAATTGCTTCCGCCGTTCTACCTGGTACGTTTGAGCGATTTGAGTCGAAGACTCGGTTAATCGAATCATCTTATAAATAAATTCGAATGTCCGCAATTAGCGGACTAGCTAGTGTGGCCGGCGCCAGATCAAGTACTCGATCGACTGCCATTCGCGGCGTTGCGACTGAAAATGACGTTTCGCAGGCGCGAAAATGAGACAAACAGCAACAGCAATGTTATAGTTGAGGTGTAAACACTATATATTTAGAGATACACAGTGTCGCAAACATAACGTAACAACTGCTACGCGTCCATGAGCGTTCTAGGAAAAATGTAGAAAACAGGAGCTGTGATTAGTCGAGCGGGGTCCTCAGTATATTAAAAACCGAATAGGACACCTTCAAAATCTACCAAAGTCAGCGTATTATTCACTTTTCGCTCGTGCATTTGGTCGGCGAACCGTGCATACTTACGCCGATGTACGACTCGAGAGACAGCACAATGAAGTGACCGCAATAAATGACTATTGGTCTCGAGGCTCTCAATATTACTAGTGCGAGATCTCTGCACGCGCCGCTGCTCAGCGAAGTCCAGGTTGTGGCGTAAACGGAGTCTCGGAAGTGGCTGCTCTGCGGTGTACACAAACGATCGTCAACATTGCCTCGTGCGATTTCCCATTCCGCGGCTTCGCCTTTACCTCGAACATTATCTCGTTGCCGAACCAACAGTAGACGAGGAATTCGGTTAGCACGCATATCAGGTAGAAGAAGCACATCAAGAATTCCATGTTCATCTGCTGCCTCGTCGACAATTGATAAACGCTCACGGACACTACGATCGAGCTGAGGCAAAATTGCTGTAATATCACCGACTTGAAGATGTCGTTGAAGGTTTCGGCGAAACTAAAAACGTTACGGTTGCTTGATTAAGGGCCGGCGATCGACGGAGATGTTTTGCGATCCGAAGCTCAAGGTACTTCCCGATGAGCTTGGGGCAGAAAGCAATGGGCGCCCGAACGAACCTAAATATGAAAAGGTGATGCCGAACGTTTTCCTTCATGACGCTTGTCTCGTAATCGCGAATCAGTCGTTGCGGCGCACCCGACGAGCGCAGTCTCCCGAGCATCTCCGGCAGCTTGTGGAACCTGTGACTCAGAAGCTCGAACTGAGCGCAAGCTAGAAATAGAAAGCCGTTGATCATTATGGTACAGCCGACCGCACTGGTTCCAACGATTACAATGCCCAGTGACTGATGAACGTACGTTATCGAGTAAGACAACATCGACTCGGTCCGATAGGGCAGCCAAACTTTCAGCGGTAAAGTTTGACTGCTCGATGATGGCAGTAATGGCAGGGCGACTAGATTCAACATGGTGACGTTCACGAGGCACGTGCATGCTACCGTAATCGACCTGTTCGCGGTTCATTGTTTAAGAACGTCTTTTGTTGACAAATTTACGTTCTAATTAGAGATGTGTGAGTGTGTTTTTTTTAATATATTAGGTAGATATTCAATTGGCAAATCTTTCGATTCTAAGTTGAAACTTCTAGAATGTTCACATGCGACCATTGAATCAAAGACACGTCTGTCAGAACTTTTATTGAGAAATAACCAATCTTTTTTTTTTTCATTCAATTTTTTTGCTGACCTTCGTTACCCCGTTACGACAATAATATTTTCTTGTAACGCTGTCTATCTGCCTTTAATTTCTTTTTTAATGTGCGATTAATTTTATCGCTTGCACTGCTGCAAGGGTAGAAAAAGTGCCATTGAGAAAAGTGTTAAAATTGATGCAAACGAAATTTCATTAGGTTCAGCTGCGATATCGAGAGGTGTATTTGTAAATAAAAAAAGAACAACAGAAAACAAAACTACGACCTGATAGTCTCGTCATATCTCGTCTGAATAGCGAGCTCCTCTTCGTTCCGCGGCAAGCAGCATTTGCTCAACAATGAATCGGCCAAGTCAATGATCCTCTGCCTATTGGCGATCACGAAGAAGAGCTTGTGCAGCCCGGAGATGCCCGTCGGTATCAAAAACATTCTGTCGCTAAGTTGCTCCCAAGTTTTGGCAGTCAGGAGATAGCCGAGCATCGACAAGTGCGTCACGAGGAACAGTCCGATGCAGGCGAGCGAGAACAGCACGTAAGCGCACTTTTTCCACGGTTTAACCCAGTCAACTGGCTGCCAGATCCCCGTAATGCTAAGCAATTTGAACGGCAGCTGCAGCACGTGCATACTCGGGAGCTTCTGCCAAGAACGACGCCTTTATTCGACATCCGCTTGATGCCTTGAAAAGGAAAAGCACAACGAAACACCTCGGCGAAGATAATTTCTTTTTTTCGCTCTATAGCCGCTTTTGTTCGCGCGGAGAGGTACACGGGCGAACGGACGTGATATTCCATGCAAAATACCGGACGCAATTTTCCCCGTTCGCGGGACTTGAAGAGCGCGGTTTCTTTCTTTATCTTGGTGAATGTTTGATGAGCACCTATCCGGGAGGAGAGGCCAGCTTCTGCGTCATCAGTTCTCCATCGACAATCGCCAGAGTTACTTATAGGATTCAGTAGATTTTATGCCTTTTACGCGATTTATGTATGAATTGAAAGAATAAAAGGAACGGCCTCAATTGTACGTTAAATTTGTCTGGAATAATAAGTCGAGCCTATACGAAAGAATCCAGACATGTGAAAATAAAAGAGCTGAAAAGGAAATATCGATAAAAAATGAATATCAGGATAATGAAGATATTGTTTTGCGTAATAATGACAAATTGTTTTGAAATATTCCTAGGTATAAATAAATCGAGGCTTTCATTGCTGTGCACCGCATAAATTATTTATTTCAAAATATTAACTGTAGGGTAATGTTCATGGTAAATAATGATTGATATGCGAAAATTAATATTCAAATATAATCACAATCTCAAAATGTAACGTACACTGTAATTATAACAAGAGCGATGAACGTAATATTAACTAAATAACAGACGCACAAAGTAAGTACGAAACATTTCGATCGGCATTAAAAGGAATTTCTATGAAGGCATTAGGCGATACGTTGGTGCACGTTTCTACGTCATAAATCACATCTCAAAATTACATCTTCGGAAAATGGGTCGAAAAGCTATATAATTGATTGAGTATCGTAGATTTTCAGTGCACACGCGGATTTCCCTCAAAGGCACTCTGCGTCAAGTCTCTTGGTTCCTTTCGTACGAAAAAAAAAAAGAAGCTACTGCTATCTCATACTACTTGAACAAGCGAAAAGAAACACTTAAAATTCATCGTTCAGCGTATCTTTATGCAGCTTGATTTGGCTTGAGTGATGGGATACTTGCGCTGCAATTTGCCGCTCATGATTTCCGTGAGACGCTTGAAGAGTATAAAGTTGTCGTGAGCAATTTGCGCTTGACGCTCGCGCTCAAGCTGAGTCCTCTTGGCATCGTAACGAACGTGCGGACGGCGATCCGGTGTCTTCATGTTCACCGTTGACGTCGCTTCCCGCACCTGCAATTGTTCGTTACTAAATTACAGTCTTATCAGTTGAACATTTGTCTTTCAGGAGTGATTTCCGATTTCGCTCGGATTTCTTTTTATATTTTATCACTTGTAACTTTACGTAGATCAAATTAACTCAATATATTTGCCTTCGTCGATTCGTGCATTTTGGAAATGAAAAATATCAACTCGGAGAATGCATAAAAATGTTATAAAAAAATCTTTTTTTATACGTTATGGAAGTAAATCGTAATCGTAAGATTTAGTTTCATCAATTTACGCTGGGATATCAAGACAATTCGAAAAATAAGATGAAAATAATAGATGATATACTCTAAGTACAGTCGTAAAAACCAAACAAATGTTATTGAGAGAAACAGATTGTTCAATTGTCAAATATTCCAGATTCCAAAACGCATATCTATGATTTATATATAGAAAATCGTAATACTCAATTCTTGCAGATTTTAGCTGAAACAGCTGTGCTCTGGCACCTCGATACTAATACAAGGAATCCAAGAAAATTATAATTGCAAAAAGCAAGGGACCAGCTGAAAATACATTCGTTAAAAGGTCATTTAAAATCATCAGTTCCGAAGTTTAGGTAAAATTCGAATAACGATAATGAACGTACAGGTGAACTGCAATGCGAAACATATTCAAAATCAACGAAATAATCTCAAGCTGTTATAATTTGAACCGAGGTGTGAACAAGAAAAGCAAAGTAGCTGTATTATCGATTCGGGGTACGTAAACACAACCAGTACCCCAGTTCGTGCACGATTCGTACGACAGATGGCACAGCGATTTAACTCAGCTTGTTGCTTTAGCGTTCGAACGTTAATGTTACTCTTTGGCGTTAGCTCCCTCGACACCTTCTCTAAGCGATCGGCTACATTTGCAGCTGTGCGACGAGCCTGCGATCACTGCCAAATCGACATCCATGCCAACGGTCGATCTACGAAGCCACAATCGATCTATATATCCAGCGGGCTGGACGCAACGGCGCTGCGCGACACTCACCCTGGAGCGATGCTGCTCGAACGAGCGATGCTCCCAGCTGCAGACGGCGGATTTGCACTTGCGCGAATCGCCAAAGGCGCTTTTGCTTTGGCGCGTCGCCGACATGGTCTTTCGCGGGCGAACGTCGAGTGAACGTGGGCAGTCCGTTTCGACTTTCGGTTTGTTCGATAAGCGTATCGCCGATGGCAACGCGCTAAGCGACGTCGTCGCGTATAATCGCACAATTCTCGCGTATATATGTATGCGCACACACGCGCACACGTACTTTTTCCTACATAAGCTGTAGGCTTCGATGAGGCCCAATTTTATGAGGAGTCCATCATTGCTTTTCAACCGCTGTGAAAGTGCAAGTCAGAATCTAAGATTGGGCAAAATTTGTGTGTCGACAACGGCAGCCGCAACGCGCTGTTCCTGGATTACTTTTATTCATTCATCAGATTACTCGGCTTCAAAAAATAATTTTACAATTTTCAATAGTCTACATATATAATCTTGATGCGAATTCCGAAATCACTCTACGCTGTATTTTCGATAGAAAAAAAAATGACATACGGTCATGAAAAGGGGAATGATTTATTCTCGTCATTCGCCCTCGCACTGATTTATCTGTATACTAAGCTTCAAACAATATGTTCGCAACAGCCATGAAGCCAATGGCTTTCTTATAAAATTAGAAAGCATTCGGTTACTCGGTCATTTTTGTAAATCACGTAGAAGTGGATTCTTCGCAGCAATATACCCCGTTAAAGCTTGGAGCAAAGTCGACCCATCGGTTTAAATTGGTTTGTATAGCTATGGAAGGGCAGGGGGGATTCTTAATTGTCAAATTCGATACTCACAATTCTAGAACTCACACTTATCATTCATATCATTTGTGTATAATAGAAATAATATTATATAACTTTCACGCCTAGAGGATTAATGCAGTTTTACGCTTGCACATAGATAATATTACAAGAAATATAAAACTACAATTGTAAGAGACAGGAGATCAATCATAAATACATTCGGTAGAAATTAGTTATGAGAGGAAGATACCGTTATCTACTGAGCGAAAGATGTTTTTCATGATTTTCTCTTAAACAAATTAATCAAGATACAAATTTGTCGGGGCATTCATTGTTTATAAACAAAGTGCGTCGAGCTCATATTTTGATAAAATAATTCCGTGATCGAAACTAAATAAAGAAAAAATACATTCGCAGTAATATGAAACTTTCGTCCTTCCTGTCTCATTTTTATTAAAATAAAAGTTGAACGCGCTCTGTAGATACACAATAAATGTCTTCAAACAGTTTTAACTTAATTCGTTTATTTGAAAGCAAACATTGAAAAACGTCTTGAACTCAGTCGATAACATCACTGAACCTTAAATTAAATATTGAACTTGAATTCTAGGTTTGAAATTTTATATTAGCAAGATTGAATAATTGCAATGTTATGAACATACAGGTAAACTACAATATAAAATATGTATGAAATAAGTCAATTAGATGAAAATAATTTCAAACTGTTTAAATTTGACTCAATACCTGAAAAAGAAAATGAAAGCAACTGTATTATGGACTCGGGGTACGTACGTATTCGGTACCTTTAGCTCTTATACCATTCCTATAGATGTCACTACCATATTTCTAGGCTTATTACTTTAGTATTCAACATCAATATTATGAACCCTTGCCCTCTCAACAATATCTCCGAACTTCCAGTCATTTTTAATATAACAAATATATAATATAATCAATAAAAAATAAAATTCATCCATTTAATCAACTTGAAAAAAATGTGCAACAATGCTTAATGACACTCACCCTCGAACGAGCAATGTTCCCACCTGCGGCGGCGGAATTGCACTTGGCGATCTAACATTTGCGTCACCGACATATCTTTCACGCAAACGTCAAACAAACCTAAAGAGCCTGTTTCGACTTATTGTGTAATACATCGCTACCGATGGCAAACAATGTCGTTGGATATAGCAGAATTTTTGTGATAGTAAGACTAACTCTTGGAGACAATTGGTAAGACTAATTGGTAACCGACAAATTAAGTTCAATTCATATTTAGTCTCTGTTGTGAAGTAATAGCAGCTGTAAATTGTCTAAACGCAGCCATTGCGCTTGGGACACACCAAGGATAACTTATATTTACTATGGTTCTTTCGAGCAACCAATGCGTTTCTACGTGATTGGAAACTTTGATACAACATATTACAATTTCAAACAATTTACGTAAATGTTACTCAACTTAAAGATACGCTTTATTTAATAATTGAGTGCAGTTATGGAGTAAGCCACGTTTGCGCGCTTGAAAACGTAATCAACGTTCTCAAAATATATCAGTCCAAACTATATATTTAACTTTCGAGTTCTCGAAGCTCCAAATCAACTTTCTCAAATTCAATCATCCGGATCTCAGGATCGGCAACAGCAAAAAAATCTCTCGGTGAAAGAAAAAGATGTCGCCGAAGAAGAATAAGACAAAAAAAAAGTGAGCTCCGTAGCAAAGCACTGAGACGTTCCCAGAGTCTCGCTCTCATTCACCGGGGCGAAAAAGACGGAAGCTGAAGGCGAGTATCTCACTGCTCTTTGCCTCTTCATTGTAGTGACGTAAACTTAATGGGCGCGGCATGGGGGGCATTGAAGTAGAGATCTTTTTCTTTTTTTCTAAGACGAGCGCCGTAGGTGGACTACGGCTTGCACTTTTTTTTCATGACTTATTCTTATTGGATCCGCGTGAGATTTCATTTATTGGGAGATCAATAGAGGTTTTTAAGATGTCGTTTATAAATTTATGTAAACGAATGTTCGTAGCGCGAAAGTGGAATTTTCGAATCCGAGAAGCGATTGCGACGAAACGATATTCTTTGTAACCGTGAATCAATGACGTTAATAGCGTAGTAAAGAAAACGGCTAATAGAGAATTATCGGTTAAATGGCGTTGAAATAAACGGTTGAAACGTATCTTAATGTTTTCGTAATTACCCATATAAATCACGCTAATATGCTACTTAGATAGACGACGGAAATAATGTTCACAAAACTTTGCACTCTACTCATTAGATCGATGCACCGTCAAAATCGCATAGTCCGAACATCAAGAGTATCCAAATGTTTGCAACCGCCTAAGGCGACCTCGACTTAGCTATGCGAGCAAAACCGTTTATCTATCAGGAGAAAGAAAGAGAAGGGGAGCAATAAAATCGAAAGAGATCTTAATCCTTTTCGTAAGGATCGACAAAGCCACTCGAAAGCTACGTGTTGCGTCGAGGCATTCTGCGCACAATGCGCATTAAAGGGTGCGTAGCGCGAGAAATGGCGCTGAGCGTTTTCACTTTTACGATTATTTACGAGCTTCTTTTTGCTCGGCGGAATTGTGCCGTGGTAAATATTGCTCGGGAGAGTTTCTTCGGGAAAAATTTGAAAAAATGTGGATAGAATTTCGGTGCCAATAGTTGAGTCGGAAAAAAAAAATATATTTTTTTTTTAATATTAGCACAACGCCTCACGGCTATAAATTTTTAAATGGAAAATTGGCACTCGTCCCTCCGTTGTTTGCCGACGAAACAAGACCAGTGCCATTAACCTTCAGCCATTAGAAAAGCAAGCCGATTCGCACCGGACAATTTCCAAAATCCCAAGATGTATCGGAAACAAGCGTTCATCGCACACGTAAAATTACAAAGCGAGAGAAGGGGCGGCGAGCAGATACACAGATAATCAGCAGCGCACACCCTTGGGTGCGCGCAGAGCGAAAAAAAAAGTAGGAAGAGGTGGAGAGTCGGCGACGAAGGGGGAGTTCGGCCAATCAACGACGCGCCGTGCGCTTATCGACCGTCGCGCTTTCGTCGAATTTTCGCGCGTGCACACGCGCGGCCGTAGCTGCCGGATGCAATTTTTTTACTTTTTTTTTTTTTTCTTTCTTTTTTTCGATTGCCAATTCGGAGCGTCGACTAATTTAAACAATAGCCTTATCGTTACAATTATTTTGGAAGTACAATATCGTAATTTTCCTGTAGCAAGAATAATTTTAAAAGTAACGATTCGTATAACCAAACGGCAGCGTGATTATGTGCCACTGTAGCGGATAACCGTAGAATGCAATTTTTTCTTTTTGCATTTTTTATGTTGAACTTCCTTAAACTCTGCGAAAGTAAGACATCGAGTTAATTTCGAAACGTCACGCCACGAGTTTTTACAGAACCTTTTCAAACTCTGAATGTGCTCCTTGTTTAAACATTAAAGATTTATCGCACTCGCAGTTTCTAGCGGATGACTTTTGCACAAAAAAAAAACAAAAAAAAGACAATTATTGCAAAGACGCGCCGCGAAAATTTTGCAAAACTTGGAATCGCTCTTCGACAATTTGTTGCAGTCTTCGCTTCAACAAAGATTTCGATTGCAAATAAAGCAAGATAAACATGCCATTTACCCTGGTGATTTGGCAAAACATTTGATCATCCGGATAATTGATTATGAACTAAAAATAAACTTTCTCTGTCTTTCTCTTCGCGTCCCTGCGATCGTTATTACGCAAATTTATACGAGACGTGTGAAATGTTGTGACTGTATTGAATTTACGTAACTGCCATGGCAATAATAAACTTTATCGATCAATCTCTCTCTGAAAATTAGCCGTCTGGATGGGCAGTGGCATCCTAGGGGTAGAGCCGGGCGTGGGGGAAAAGCATCATGCCGGTAGGCGTTGCCTTTTCAAACTCGAGACTCGCTAGGCGCGCTGAGCAGTTCGGCTCAGTTACGAGCGGGACGTCGCGCGCTACGGACGTGCGCTCACACATACACGTAAGCGTGACGCGAGTACAAGTGTGAATCGACCTGCGACCGCGAATTGCAGGGTGGAAGTCGTCACCATGATGATGCACGCGATGGATCACACGGGCGCTGGTCTCGGGGTCGGCGTTTTACCCTTCGACGGGATGGGAATCTACGAGCAACCGAGACCAAGGCTGGTCTTCAAGATGCCAAGAGTGGTGCCGGACCAGAAGAGCAAGTTCGAGAACGACGAGCTGTTCAGGCGGCTAAGTCGGGAAAGCGAGGTGAGCCGATCGACTTTTCATCGACTGTTCATTCGTTTGCCGAGACTGCCCTCCCCGTTCGCCGATCCGGAGCGCCGACGGTCGCCTCGAGTGGGGCTCATGGCAGTTGCTCGCTTCGAAGTCGTTTGCCTCGACAACGCGCGAACGCTTCCCAAACGTTCACCCGATGGAAAAAGAAATCCAGCGCTGGTATTTGTTTTCAGCCGCTGTCTAAAATTCGCGTTACCGTTGCGCCATTATCGTAAAACCTATAAGCCTCGCTGGAAATTGCTGCAGCGTCGCCATTGCTGTTTCGAAATGTACAACTCTAGAGTCTGCGGTTTCGAGGCGAGTCGCGCGTAAACAAAGTACTGGCAGCGTTTACGCGAATCGTGCGGCAGCGGACTTTTCGCAAGCGTAGCGCTGTCAAGAAGAAAGCTCGAGTATCGTGGATAATTCGTTCACCAATTTCGACGCGTCTTGCTTGCAGGTGAAATACACCGGCTACAGAGACAGACCCCTCGAGGAGCGCCAAGTGCGCTTCCAAAACGGTTGCCGCGAAGGCCACACCGAGATCGCCTTCGCCGCCACTGGCACGAATCTCCAGCTGGTCTTCGGCGTCACTTCTGGAAATTTCGGAGGTGACCCACGCGAGTGCGACTTCGACAAAGAACACGGCAAGGTACCTGACCATAATCCGTCTACAAATATGTTCGCTGACGGCACTCTAAGCTCGACGGATTACCTTCACCGGATTGTCGGATATGTAGCAGTTGGCGGACAATGCTTAGTGGATTTTGATTATGTCGTGCTTACGAGCTCAGCTGCAAATCATTTGCTCGTTGATTTCTGTCAAGCGCGCAGCCTGAAAAGTGGCGATCGTTGTCAGAGAAAACGTCGTTTCGTGTCCCATCGCCGTAGCGAAATATCTTTTTTTTTCCCCTCCGAAATAAGAAATAACCTTCGTCGAATACCAATACTCCAGGACTTTTACCTTCTTTGACGCCGACGATCCGCGCCGAGACGAGCAAAAGCCTTTCTACCATTCGGCAAAGATAAAGAAAAATAATAAATCCAAGATCTTCGACAGGATGCGTTATAGTTCTCTCCTCCGTGGGGGTGTGTGTCGTAGGTAGTTTCCTAGAAAAGTCAAGTTTTACGATGGGATCCTAATTGCGACTAACGATTTATTGGTGCAGCTGCGTTGTCGAGTGTCCGACGTCACGTTCCGCGCATTGAGAAGTCCGTCCATTCCGGAAACATCTGCTTGTTTGTTATGTCTCTATTAGCTTGTCGTTTGTGCGACTTGTCCACGGAATTCCCATAGGCGAACGCGGATCAATGCCTGGACGGCTGTTCTGTTATGCGCGCGGATTTGCGCTTGCGCAAAACTGACGCTCTGCGAAATTGTATTCGTGTGGCGTCGGGACGCCATCGCGATCGATATAACCCGACGTCGACCCCGCCATACTCCATTTTTTTTCTCTGTGCCCCCCCCCCCCCTCAATCTTTTTTTCTTTGTTTATAAGAGTGACTTCGATGATAAGGCATTAATTAAAAAAATGCTCGTCAAATCTTCGATCTCTTTACTTTGCATCTTCAATTAAATTTCAGTGAATGCGATAGGCTGCAAGAAAAATGTTGTAGATTTTCTTAAAACTCTCGAGTAAATGATGTGATTTCGCAGTCAGCGACATTCAAATATGTTTCCACGTTTTATTTATTGCTTAAGATAACTTATGTTAGATTAAATTATAATCAATTGATGCGTGTTTTTTGTGTTCAGTCCGACAAAAGAGAAAATCCATTTTTTTTAAACTTGGTTAGGGAAAAATTGATTTTCAAATTCAAAATTTGATTTTCAAAAGTCTACCATTCTTAAAATTAGTAGAATGTAATCTTGTCGTTTCCATGGCCGATTTTGCATATAAGAAAAATTCGTCGATGGCTCCTAGTTTTTACCTAAAACATACAATCCTTTATATAAAAACTTGATAAGTATAATATAAAACTTTTGTAATAAGTTACGTATTTCAACGAATCATTGAATACATTGTTGTAATTCTGTAGATTATCGAAATTTACCAAACTGAATAATTTGTTACTAGAGTGTTCTAACTACGTTTTGAAGGGGTTGACGGATCTGTTGAAGAAACGTTTTCATCGCTTTGTCGTCTGCAGCGATCATGTACAATGACATTTGCGAAAACAAAACTCAAATGCATTGAAAGTAGACTATTATCACGTAGACTCAAGCAATCAAGATTGATTGTAGGAAATGCATAACGAAATGGTGCTCATAGCTCTACTAACAGAGCTTTAAGGACCAATTCGGCAAATGGATTGCGAAAAAACTGAACCAATTTTTCTAATCTTTGAAAAATCAAGTCTGTTTCCTCGCGCAAGCAAAAAAAAATGGAAGCGTATACAACACGCAATCACAGGGTCACATAATGGCCGTAGATTTCTTACAGAAAAGAAAGAAGAATGAAAGCTTCACCCGACAAAACGTATAATTTATACGAAAACGAGCGACTAACACGCGACTTTACAAAACAATCTGCTGTATAGAAAGAAAAAAATAAGAGGAGCGCATTTGTAGCCCTATTATTCGCATTCAACGGGGGCCATATGTTTTTCTAAAACTCCTCGAAGACGCGTCGAGGGTCTCCGATTTGACGGCAATTAGCGCGGCGCGTATACATCCAGCCAGATGCTCCGGAGCTACTTTCGTGTTTGTCGTGTAAATCTCGTCTGTTGATGTCTCGCGACGCGTCGGGTGCTTCCTTTAGCTTTTCCGTTGATCTGTTTTGACTTTGCCGCTCCTTGATGTTTTATTAGTCGTGATCTCTCTCTCTCTCTCTCTCTCTCTCTCTCTCTCTCTCTCTCTCTCTCTCTCTCTCTCTCTTCTAATTCTGTTTGAGCTGCACGCCTGCAAAAGAAAATGTTAGCTTTGAAATGGAGCCATTAATTTTGACGACGAGCGGGACTCTGAAATTTACAAACGGCATTGTTAATTCTCCAAAATACTCGCGTTTATTTCGCAGTCCTAACAATTCGATCCCAACTGAAATGATATATTCGGTGTAATGGCAGAAAGCTGGCCGTTTGGCGGCACGATTTACTTGAAAATAAAATCACACCGCCCGCAGTGGACGCGAAAGCAGCGGTAGTTGTCTAAAAAGCCTCTCTTTCTCTCCGTCATCGAAAGCATCGAAAGTACGCTGGCGTGGTCGCGCGCGAGTCTCCCGGTCTCCCGTCGGCAGCGAAACAATTGGTTTGTTTTCGCAGCACGTGCGCCCGGGGGCGAGAGCTGTTAATTATCGTTTGATCCGCGTGCGCGATTGCGGCAATCGCACGCGAAGGACAGGTACTCGAAGTCGCCGAGACGCGCTCGTTAATTGGAACGTCGCCGGCTGCTAATGATCCGCGAGCGCGTACACAGCTGCGACAAGTCAAAGTAAACAAATTCCAAATGTGCATGCACATTCGATTATCGACCCTAAAAACCACCCGTAGCGCGAGCAACGATTGCCCCCTGCCGTGCGAATGCAATTAGGCGCGAGGAAAAACTTTTTTTTTTTCTTCCCGTTCGGCTTCGCAGAAGTTGACGATTCTCGAAAACTATCGCGGCGATTGTGTTTCCGGCTGTGCGAAATTGCCAAAGCCAAGAGTGAGCGAGAAACGCCTATCCCTGGAACCTTCGGGCTTCGGGGAACGATAGGCAATTTCTGAACTTCGGACGTTTCTCCGCGACGCGCACCACCGTTTCCCTGTATCGAAATACCAAATCAATCGTCCGCGTGAAAGAGAGAGGTATATCACGTTCGTCAGTCGCCTGCAACGCAAAGAAGTCCGTTGAGCGCGCTCGCTGACCGTATGCCGCGCGTACGCGGTGTAGCTCGCGTTTCGCGACTGACGAATGCCGTGAGCGCGCTTGAAAAAAAAAAAAAAAAAAAACCATCTCCCCTTTCTCGCTCGGACTCGCGCTGCCGCTCGTCGGAGGAAAAAGTCGCCCTATATGACGGTCACGCCTCCTACCCCGGCAGAAAAAAAAAAAAGAGAAAAAAAGAAAAAACGATAGGACAGGAAGAGAGGAGAGTCGATCGCCGTCCGCAGTCGCGCAACTAGGCGCCAATGGAAAACGCATCGCGATGAATGCCGGCTAATTTATGATTCGCTCGCTGTATTTTCGTCCGTCTCATTCAGCGGATGGCGAGGCGGCTTAAAAGGCAATTTTTACGCGCGCGCGACGCGTCATCCCTTTCGGTCCGCATGTCGTTTTTTGCCGACTGGGCCCCGCGACTTTAATCCATTGTTTCCTTCGGACTGAATTTTTTCGTTTTTTCCTTCGACATTCTCGGCCATGCAAATGAGCCGCGCAAAAGGGTTGGAAATATCGTCGCTCATTATTGCACGTTAATGGGCGTTCACGCCCATCGCGCGCGTGAGAAAAGGGTTGTGTTTGTTACATACCTTAACGATCGCGTGTTGTTTTTGCTCGCCACACGATTAATACGTTTAACACCCTTTCATTGGCGATCGCGACGTGCATGTCTAATTGATCTTGCGTCGTGTTGTCATTTTTTTTCCGTCCCTTTTACTTCGGGCTTTTGTCGTAGTAGTATGCTAATTTTGTATTTTGCTTGGCTCGTGCAAGATTACAAGGAGATTACCGAGAGAGTAAACTGAATTTGTCTGCGTTGATTGATCGCGCGAAACCAACGCGCCAAATTATATGCCATTTTTAATAATTTATCGGAGCCTAAACTTATCTCCACATTTATTTCGAAAGAGAATTATGGCTATTTTTATTAGCTTTCATATTACAAGGCATTTGTGTTGAGAAAAAAATTACGAGTATTTAAAAAAAATGAACTGCAACAAAGTTCTTTCGCACTTACAGACAGCATTTGCTAGCCTATATAATTTGAAATATTTAATGGGCCATCAGTCGAACAAATAATTTATGAATCATTAAAAAAGTCGCCCGGCGCGCGCGCGATTCGTTCCGTCGTTACAGTTCGTACCTGCCTGTGTGTGTGTGCGCTTTTTTTTTAACCTCGATCTTTACGAGCTGCTACCTACAGTGCAGAGAGCACGAGAAGGGCTTTTTTTTCGCCGACTTTCTCTTTCTCTCACGCGACCTTTTAAGACGTCTAAATATCGGAGGGTCGGAATGCCCAGGTGCGACTTCAAGAGAAAAGATTCCATCGAGCGAATGTACACCTTCGATCAATTAGAACGATCAATGAGCCCGATGAGTAATCTGGGTTTTAACGCGTCGACGTTCGCCTATAGAAATTTCGCGATGCCGGACACGTGCTGCCACGTACCGTCGCAAGAAACTCGTTATGCGCACAGGATTCCCCGCGGCACACGACGTATAACTGTGCGACGAGCCTGATGACGATTACGAGGAACTCCTCATACTTGACTAGTACGCAGAATCGCGATTTTTGCATATTGCAGTCGTTCTGAAAAAGTGTTTGCTACATTGTTACTTTTGCGCTGAACGCGGCTTCATTTTCAACGGTATTGCATTCGTCATCTCGCGCGAAAACGTTAAGAAGCTAACGATAGCCTCCTTTACTTTTTCTTTGCAGGTCCACATAAAATCTCACCTCATAATGAACGGCGTGTGCGTAACGTGGCGCGGTTGGATCGATTTGGAGCGTCTCGACGGGGTCGGCTGCTTGGAGTACGACGAGGAGCGCGCTACCGAGGAGGACGCTCTGCTGCGCGACCAAATCGAACGTTACAATCGCCGCATGCAAGACATCGAGGACAAGCATCGCGTTTATCGTAGCGGTGCCGCTGGCGTTCAAGCAGCGCCACATCTCAACCATCACCACCATCATCATCCACACCACGCGCATCCCGGTGTACCTGGTGCCGACTTAGGCTTTTAAATTTCCCTCTTAAGTTTCGTGGCGCGGAATTCGTTTGTGTTCGTTTCTTCGAATGCGTTCTTTTGTAAATATTGTTTGTTCGAGGACTGTCGATTTTAAGAGACTTATACATATCGACGGAAGAAGTGACGGGAGTGCATTGTGTTTTTACAACCAATCACTAATACTACCATTTCATTGTAAGTTTTACGATTCTTTCGTCGAGGATTATGCAATATTATTTTTTCGTTTGTATAAAGATCTCAGTATGATCCCGCAATGTGTAAAATATTTTTATCGATTTAATATTAAAGTTATAATTTGAATGAAAGACACGCCTTCGTGAAATGTTACCCTTGACGTTACATCGTTGTCATCGAATGCACAATCGATATTGAACATATTCATAGGCGAGGGTGTTGTTTGTTTGTATTTATAGCGCCTCTCTCGCAGTCACGTCGCAGATCGCTACTGCGACCATCGAGTTCCCAAATAGTCACAGTAGTTCTAGCAAAGAAAAGTCTGATCGTTCACGAGCGAGAGAGTGAATCAGTCGACGCGCGATTTCCGGCAAAAACAAAATTCACTCGTGAGTCAGTGTGCCGGACGCCGATCTTGCTTGTCTACTTTTCGTTCTAATCATAAAAATTATAATTGGACGTATCGTCCGTGGGAACGGCGAAGCATTCACGAATTCCCGACGATTTCATCCGATGACTCGGAGCACTTTTCATTTCCCGAAAATTCGGCGATTCATTCGCTTGGAAAGGCATCACCAAAATCTTGCAAAAAGAAAGTCGTCGCTCGGCGTGATTCAATCATCCTCGATGACAATTAAACGTCGCATGTCGGCACTCCACGGCTAACAAGACTGCTCCCCGGAAAAGAATAGAGAGAGAGATCGGGCGGAGCGCGACAATGACGCTCGAAATTTTCGTCGCGGACTAATCCCGCTGGGCCGGTGTTTGACAAAAACGTAAGATCGAGGCTGCGCGTCGCACAGTGGGAGCGTAACATAAGTCTGATCTATTAATTCGGAGCCGAATTGAAGACGGAGACGAGGAGAAAAAGGGAGTCCGTGGTACAAAGAAGCGCCGCTTTTGTAATGGCCTCACCTGCGCCCCCGAACGCGTCTCCGTGTGCCATTAATCATCCTTTCTCGCACCTACATATATACTGGAATTCGATGCCTTGTAAGGTAAGCGGAGAGTGGCAGTTCGGGTAAATAGAGACGCGAGAGGGACGACTCTGTGGGTCACTATGTGAACACTTTTCGCAGCGTCACAGCAGCAGCAGCACCACCAGCAGCACTAGTTTTCATATGATTAGGCTATTATGATGTTGGTACCATTCTCCACTAAATATTCCATTAAATATTCGATAGATGTTCCGACAATATTCTAAAAAGAATGGCATTTTTTTTAACGCGGTAATAAATCGCATAACTTTATAAAACATAACTCAACGTCTTAATTTGAAAAACTCATAAGAGTAAACTATGACTTTTTGTACTTGCTGGTTCCAAGCAGCAATTGGACGGGTTATTTTTCCGTGCACGTGATAAGATTATAGAATCAGTACGCCCATCTCGTACGTATATTTTTGTTGTTATTTTAGAAAATTCCGATGTCAATTTTCTTACATTCAGTAAAGTTTTTTTATGAAAAAGTCATTCGATAATTTTTCTAAATTGCGTGAGTAATCTTAATATATAGTTGAACGTTTTGTAACATTAAATTGTAACAGTAAATTGTTAATAACATTTGAAAACGTTGTGTAGATGGCCAAACATGATATAATGAGAGGGGCGAGCCGTGAAAGTTGTATCAACTGTAATAGGGCTTTCCATTTCTCCAACGGGTCTGGGTCATTTTGTTTTGTTGGCCCGACGCTGTCAAGATTAATGGATCGTGAAAAATCTGACGATAAGTTGATTTCTCACTCGCTGGACGCTTTCAAGAATAACAAAAACCTTCAAAATCGATGTTCATCTCTCGAGAGGATGCTTCTGAATACGACCAGAGATTCGATGATGATGATACCGTGTAAGACGAAGATTTTGAATGAAGAGCTTAGGAGATGTTTATTTTGAAATATATCATCGTCTATAAAATTTTTCACAGTAATTCTATAGTGAGATTGCGGATGATTCGAACTTTTATCAGTTAACTTGTTAGCGTGTTGAATGCGCTTTATAATTTTGTATTGTTGTTGAGATATTTAACGTTTCGTGTATTTACTTTCGCAGCAAGTTTTTAACACTTTTCGATCACTATAATATGAGCACGTATGCACGCGTATTTCGTTTATCACGCGTCAGTGCGAATTTTTATTATATTCATCACGAAAACAAATTCATTGACGATAAATCGTCATCATTCAATATCGCTGTATCCGCAAGGAATAAAAGAATTTGAAACGCAATCGCAACAATCGAATCTCAGCGTTGGAAAAAATCCGGGACAAAAGTATGCGTCAAAACTTCAATTAACCTCGACGCATAAAAAAAGAGAAAAAGAAATCAGGAGCTAGCAAAAGGACACCCGCGTTGAAAAGGTCTCTCTCTCTCTCTCTCGGCATAAGGCAATATTAGCATGAAAGCGCCCCACAGCGAGAGAAGCGTACATATACGCGACGGGACGCTCTCGCGACTCTATATCACGCCCCTCGATGGCGCCCCGCTTATCGCTTATAGCGCTTCCGTTCCGTTCGCTGCTGCTGTGCTGCCTGTCGCCGTAGGGGTATAATAGAGCTGCCGATACGGATTTGTACCCGAATCGCGTAATCCGAGAAACAAACTTTCCTTTTAAATGGATCGCCGCCAGGTATACGCGTCCAATTTGGAAATCAGATTAGCGGACGGGATTTCGGAAGATCGCTAAAAAGGTTGTTTCACGAGTTCGCAGTGAAGGGCAGAGCGTGTTTCTCGTGCATCGTTGCTCTCCGGACAAGACGGAACGGAATTCATATAGAAGGTGCCGCGGCGTACAAAGTCAGGCGGAAAGGGCTCGACTTTTACCTAACAAGGCGATCGTTGCAACAGGAGTAATTACGCTGGTCGGGCTCGGTGTAAGGCGATCGCCTCCTCCTCGGCACTGCGACGGAATTCTTATAAGAAGCCCTACGCGTGCAAGCGAACAGAGGAGAGCGAAGACGTGCCAAATCGACGTTCTCACGCGCAGCCCGAGCCTCGATGTCCGCTTTTATAATAATAATTTCGGTTGCCCATAAATTTCTCAACGGTGAATCGTCGACGTGCGGACGCGCGTCACCGAGGCGATCGATTCTCGGCTTACGTACTGACGATACGAAAGTGAAAGTCCGGTGAGCTGCTATCGCGAATGACAAAAGAGGAAAAAAAAAAAATTGACGTTCGACAGTAGCATAAAAAGAAGACGAAAGCGAGAGTATAATCAGAACCGGTAGCGCTGGCGTCACACGTCTTACTGGCGTCACGTTAACACATTTATTAACGCTATCGCCGGATATTTCCTGTGGTCAGATAATTTATTATGAACTTATCGTCACTTGCAGTAATTATCTTTAGTTTTTGGATTGCGAGCCCGAACGCCGCATTATTTCGTTTGATTATCGCAGGGCGACATTTTCCTTCGCAACGCGAACCGACGGCCGCCGTCGTTCTTACGATGATTCATCGCTGGCTCTCGGCCGAAGTACTCGTAAACTACCGCACAAACGCGCTTGGAAAGCTGCCGTGAAAACTGCTCCAAATAATGAAATCCGGACAGTTACCTATTTTCCTCTCGAGAGCCCGAAATAGGATTTACAACGGAGCTTATTAACAGCTGCTCGTTCTTTCACGGTATCCGGCGGAGGATGCAACAATGGCGACACACACTGATTCTCGACCCCTCGCGTACGTGTCAAAACAGACTCGACGACGGATGTTACCATCGCGCCTACGACGATTTATTATATCCCATCTATAAAGAGCGCGCGCACCTTTGCCAAATCGAGCAGACTAATCGAAAAGGCAGATGCCGTCGATTGAAATGTCGAGTGAGCGAGCGCGAGCGTCGAGAGCAGCCTCGGAAACTGACTCTTGGGTATAGAGACCATTTCTAAAATTACCTTAATTTCATCGAATCAAATTCGTTCGCTGTGCCGCGCGAAGGAACAAAATGTTAACGAGCGAAAGCCCATTGCCGTGGGATCTCATTTCCAAGACGAAAGCAGCTCTTCTTCAAGAAGAGACAAGCGGCACGTGTACAATCGGAGCACTCCGGGGGCCCAACTTGCATAAAAGAACAAAAAAAAGCGCGGCCCTCGAAATTGATTTTTCGAGATTGTTGTTGACACTCGAGGGCAGTAAAGCGGTGAGTATTCAGCGAGCAGAAATGCGGGCATATCCTTACACACCGGATAAAGCATCGATTCACGCTTCGACGAGCTCCCGACGGCAAGCGAGCAGTCCCCCGTCATTGCTTTTGCTCTTTTAGTTTTCTTTCCTTTTTTTTGCCGTTGCTCGCACACTTGATTGAATTACGCAATGGTGGTGCGTTTCATGTACCACGGGATAATTTCTTGAAAAATTAAAAAAAAATTTTTTTTTCTTTTCACGCTTATCAACTATTTGATTTCTTTCAGACACTTTGGAGATATTGAAAAGAGAAGTGTTGCAAATTTGGTTTCTATTATATCTATATTTTCCACCGGCTAACAGAAAAACGTATTATTCGTAAATTATTTGCACGCGCGAGTATTCACTTCACGAATGGGGAAGAGGAAATAAGAAAAGTGGCTATTATTATCTCCTAAATATAATTCCTACTATGTTTAAAAGCAAATTAAAAGTAAATTACACATCTAAACAAGTCTTTATCTATTTTTCCGATTAAACTATAAAAATTTTCTGAATTATAAAAACATTATCATTATAGCAGAAGTAGACACTATTAGAAATCATGTTACTGTAAATTTAAAAATATTTAGTAATAAATGAACAGTTACGTGAAATACCAAGTACCAACCAGCTGTATAAGTGAGTAAGTACATCGTCGTTGCATGTAAATAAAATGAGTTTTTACAAAATACTTTGCATTATTTCACCGTCGCCCGGCTGGCACGTCGAGCGAACGAGCAGCGTTATATAACCCAACTTATAATGTAAATGTTTGAAAATGGTGGTAAACAAGCTCGTTTTCATCGCCTTCGTATCTTTGCAATGATGATGCGCAAATAACTACGTCCGTCGGTATCCCTCGCGTCTGGAATAAATTAAACTATAATCGAACTGAGAGCAACTAAGTGACGCAACCGATGACGGTCGCCAAAGTTTCAGTCGAAATGACAATTTCGCTAAGTACTCATTGCAT